ATGGCAACGGTGAGATGGATGAAGACGCCAAAAACTTCTGGAGAGGAGTATGGATTGGTCATTGGAGTCTTGCAAGGAACAAGGCTGGTGGAATGATAGAGAGATGGATAGATACAGGTGGCTTTTTTTGGGCTTTTCTTGCAGGAAATTTTCCCTTGAAGCAATAAATTGCAGAGTGTCTCGAGATTGTTTTAGTATATCTTATCTTCTTAGGAAAGGCAGGTGACTGCTAAGCTCCATTTCTTGTTCCAGGCAGCAGCAGAAGTATTCAGGGAAGGAAGTTGGAGATGTGTTTCTGAACTCTTATTAGCCTTTCTTCTCACAATGATACATCTATCATAGTTGACAGTAGAAATGGCTCCACTGGCTCATGATGCATGTAATCGATGGGACTTGATCTACACAGTCCCACCATGTGCACATTATTATCATTATTTAGTGTCTGTAATCTGACAACAAAGGTAGAAAATTCCAAACTGGTTTTGTATAGAACAAGTAGGTGTACAATCTCCTTCATAGATGAGCTCTAAACTGGTTTTATAATGATCCTGTCAACATATAGTTAGAAATTTTTGCCTGACAAGAAAGCAGTATTCAATCACAAAGTCAGATAGAGCATTTCTGCTCTTTTGCGTTGCAGATTTGAGCAGACATTTTGCAGCATAAATTAATGTGGCCACTCTTCTTTGATCCAGAAGAAATTAACAGGGAACTACTCTGTCTCAACTGTATCATAATCTTGAGCACTGACATTTGATGCTCCAGCCATTATTAAGGCAAGTGCAGGCCTTCAACATCTTTCTCGGAAACTGGTGCTCGCCCATGGTAAAGGACAAAGCTCCTTCTTTTCCAATCTGGCTATGTTAATTATAGTGGAAGACAACAGAAGTGGTCTGCAATTACAGAGTAAAACGTTGTGGCTTCTCACACACTACAGAGGATGTCAGCAGTTTCTGAAAGCTAAAACAGAGCAATAAAGGAAATAAGCCTCTGTCTTATGCATTAAATGAAACCTCTCTCTCTCCCTCTTTCTCTCTCGAAAGAGCAACAAGGAAGGGGAACGTATGCTTTAATGTGTGTCAAGCTCGTCAATGAGTACATATCGCAAGGAACCCTATTTTTGGGCTCGTATTTTTCTCCTTGTTCAATGCGAAGGTTGGAGTTGCGCGGCAAAGGCGCCGTCTGCGAGTCACCGTCAAATCTTTCGATCGCTGTGGCGTTAAACATACTCTGTTTTGTTGGCACACTCGACAGGACTCTTCCCTCTGCGTCTCCGCCCCCGCATGCGAAGACAAATACGCTCTGTTGACTCGGTCCAAACAGGGTTCAGCAAAACCCACCGCAACAAGCAAAGCAATCCAAATAGAAGGCAAGGTGGTGGAAGTGTTTCCTGTACTCGGTCATTGGATTGATAGCCGACTCTCGTCCGCGGTGAGAGGTGGGGCTTTCATCACGACCGCGCGCATACGTTCGCCGATCTACATTAAAAGTCAAAGTTCAACCATTGACTTCCCTCCCTCTAACTTCACGCCCACGGCAAACCGGCATCTTATAATTATTGCCGCTCCCCATCGGCGCCACCGATCGAACACCTCCCTGATTCCAACTATGGCGACGGCAAACCACCGCCCGACCCCAGCACTCGCCCATGGGACGGCGTCGCTTCCGCTCTTAGTGCTCACTCTGGTTCTCGTCACTCCCCGCTGTGTCGACGCTCAGGCCTCTCAAACGCCCTTCGGCGACAGCCCCTACAGCGGCTACAACGTCAAGATCAACCCCACTATCGCCGCCCTCATCATCGCCTTCATCTGTGGCTTCTTCTTCCTTGGATTCTTCTCCGTCTACCTGCGGCAGTGCAGTTCCGGCAGTTCCAGCGGGACTCGACCATCCGGGGTTGTGGAGTCCGGCGCGGTCTCCCGTCGCACCGTGCGGCGGGGAATCGACCCGGAGGTGCTCATTTCGTTCCCTACCATGGCGTATTCCGAGGCGAAGGAGCACAAAAAAGGGAACGATACGCTGGAGTGCGCTGTGTGCCTTTCCGAGTTCGCCGACGAAGACACCCTCCGGTTGCTCCCCAGGTGCTCTCACGTGTTCCACGTCGACTGCATCGATATCTGGCTCGACACCCACGTCACCTGCCCTGTTTGCCGTGCCAACCTCGCCGAGCCGGCGGCCGCCGACTCCATCGCCGCCGCCTGCGAGTCCACGCCTGCGGAGGAGTCCGGAGCCATGGAGGAAGGTGATCTGGAAGCGGGGCGGCCGTCGGTGGGGTACCGGAGGTGGCACTCCACGGGGCACGAGGGGGAGGAGGTAGACCGGTACACGCTGCGGCTTCCGGAGGACATAAGAAGGGAGATCTTCACGGCAGCAGGGCTCCGGCGGGCGGCGAGTGTGGCGGAGCCACGGGTCCGCGGGGTGGCAAGCGGGAGCAGGGGGTACCGACGGGGGTGGAGCGGGCGGTGGGGATTCCTGCTGCGGACGTTCTCGGTGAGGCGGCGAGCGGATGGGACGGCCGTGGAGGGGTCGAGCAAGAGGGTCTACCCGTCCGTCGAAGCTCCCCTTGACCTTGCTCTTGGAGAAGGAGGGGGGAAGTCCGAACCCATAAAGGAAGGAACAAAGGAGAAGGAGGCGGTGGTAACCGAGTCGCCGTCGTCGTCGTCATCTGCTACCCCCTCAGCGATGGAACGCGTTTAGAGTACATTGTACCCAAAGCCCACTTAGTATCGTATTGGTGACAAGATCTTTCTTTGGATTTCATCCTGAGACCTGTACATAAGACCAAGATGATGTGTTGTGGTTGCCATCGGTGTGAATTTTTTTGTGCCAAAAGCCAAATTGTTTGGAAGAAATAGTTTCTAGTGATTTCATATTATTTGTGGTGGAAGATAGGAAGGTCAGAAGAATCCAAAGAAAAAAAGTTGCTGAGAGTTGTGAGGAGCTCAGTATATGCCTTTCTTTCATCTTATAACTTGAAGAAAAATGCATTTGAGGATCAGTGGTGACTACAAAAAGTCTTGAGAAATGAACTCAAAATACAGAATATGTGTCATCAGAAAAAAAGTATCAATCCAGGAAACCAAAACTGATGAGTTGATGTATCTGTCCTATTTCTTCCCCTGGAATGGAAATATGATAGAGCTACCATACTACGCAACAGGACAGAAATGAACTTTCAGTGCAGTGTGGTAACTCCCTTACTGCATTTTATGCCCTGCATTATAGCTTGGATAATGACAAGCAAGACATAAATGAAGGAAGCAAGGCTGTATCCAACATTAAGGCCATTAGCAGAAGCTTTTAATCAGTCACAAGGTTTTCTTCTGCTGCTACAGTAGTGCCTGCACATCATTTCCAATCATAAGTCTCAGATGCTCCTTTGGACCTGCTAAAGTGCACTGTCATGTCATGCATATTTACCTAATACACATTTCATCCATACCAACAACTCTAGTGCAATTTTGCCACACCACTCAACAACTCACTAACACTCGAGTAGTGGACACCACCTTGTCTTCCTGATCTCCTTCCATGGTAATTGATGTACAGTCTAGCAAGAAGTAGTAGTTCATCAACCACTTATGGTTGCTTAGTTCCCTCTCTTCAGTGATTGGCCTCCTGTGTTCTTTATCTTGTACATATGAGAAATCCTGTAGTGAAGGTGTCAAGACTCAAACCACCAATCAAGATTGTTTGAATCCCATAACGCTTGCCAACACATCTAATTTGCATTCTCAAACATCTAAAATCCCATTTGGATCTGTGTTAAATATAAGTAAAGTCAATGATTCTCTAGAATCTGTATTATAACAAAACCCAACCAATCTTGGATCACTCCAAAAGCAAAATAATTGTGGTGCTCATTAATAGCAGATAAGATTTTTCTAACTATACGAGGAAATCTCTCTATTCTGTTGAGAAAAATCCTCTACTCTGTTGAGGAAAATCTGTATAAATATGAGAGGAACATGAAGCTTATCTTCTATTCTTTACAATACTCACAAGGTAGAATTCCTAAGTCAATGCCACATAATATTTTTCTTAATATAATATTTAAAATTAATGTTGGGGTGTGCTCCACATTGTCACTAAGTTAATTCAAACTCTAACACCTCATAAACATGGATTCAGCTCCCAACCAACCATGCTTCTATTGTTAGGATGATTCGACATCGTGTGTCGAATTTTGATTGATCCAAAATAACAATAATATCAAAAAAATTAAATTTTATTTTGGATGGTAATTGAGGATGAAGACTCCATCAAGATTTTTCCTTATCTGTTGGTTATGTTTGAATTTTATTTTTTTCTCTAGAAAATTCAACATATAAAAAAAAAAAGATACCATTGCATATAAATATATTAAGTCCTTTTCCTTTTTTAAATTATTTTTCTTGTATATTGAGATACAGAATCTTTTTCTTTTCTTTTGACTCAATCAAAAGTAAGTCATGAATTCAAATCTTGTGTTTGTCCCTCTTGATCTTACTTAATATTTTAATCAAATATATCTACACAATACCAGTTAATATTGAAGGATACAAAGGCCAATGCATTGGATCAACATTGCTCATTCCGCAAGTGAGTGAGTTCATTGTGCTTCTTTCTTTCTCCTCGCCTCTTTTTCCTTTCCAAGGAATCGTCGTGCTCCTTTCTAGAAAAAGTCAAAATCCATTCCCCGATCCGGTTGACTTAAATTGCGGCTCACATTGGAGGAGATGTGGTTAATGTTGCACCGTTAGCTCTCGTGGATGGGGATGGGCTCGTGGAAGTTGGACGTGATTCCAAGTCATTGGTTGACTGCTTGATTCCAAAGGATCTCAATGTGGCCTTTGCTTCGTTTGGCCTCGCAGTAATTACAAGTCAGCAGTGGCCACACAATCCAAGACGGAATCTTAAAGAGACGAGCGATGTCAACCCCGAATCCGTCGTTGCTCACACCATATATAGAGAGAGGTAATTCTGCATCTTTGGTCTCCATTCTGTACGTTCTAGTATTTGGGGAGAACTCTGCTCGTCCATGATGCCTTCTCCTTCATCTCATGATCACGTCCTCCGCAGATCTTTCTCCAAGCAAAGGAGCTTCCCTCGCTCCTGTAACCACTCATACAGATTCTACATCAACCTACTCATCACCCTCTTCTGCGTCTTCCTCACCCTTCTCCAGATCCAGACTGTGATCAGAACATCGACGGCTCCCTTCACGTTCCCCTCCTCCTACTCCGCATGGCCACTGCTGGCTCACCATGTTCATAACCTAATCGGCGAGCTCGAGCTGAGTCAGAGGTCGACAGACGAGCCACGGGGCAATGTCACGTTCCTCCCCCTCAAGGACCTTCGATTCGCCGAGACCGCCATGGTAGGCAACACTTGGTTCATGAGCTCCGTAAATGACACCAAGGAGAAAGGCGAGGCTGAATACCTCTACTTCCCATCGAAGGAGATGGACGGCAAGCTGCTGTGCTTGGGTGGTGGTAGCGCTTCCAACGGCACCATGAATTCGTATGCTTTGGCACCAGCGGAGGCTCTTCCGCCGAACGCCAAGCTGCTTTCAGGGCTGACCTTCGTGTCGGACACCTACTACAGCTACGATAACATATTCCATGGGATATCAGCGTTGGCGCCCTTCGTAGCATGGCACGAGAGGAAGGCCTGCGTCATGCCGGCCAGGTGGGTGCTGTACCAGCAAGGGGAGATAAGAAGAAACCTAAAGATCCCGTGGATTCGGACCTTGATGGAGGCCACCTTCGGTCCGAGCATGGAGATCGAGCAGTTCCGCAAGAGCGACGAGGGACCGAGCTGCTTCGAGCAGGCGGTGGTGTTCCGCCATAACCAAGGAACCATGGGTAGGGAGAGGAAGGAGAAGCTCTACGACTTGCTGAGGTGCAATGCTCGAGCTTACTGTAACATCACCAGGGAAGAAGATGATCTCAAGGCCATAAGGCTCACGCTGCTGCTGAGGGTGGGTGCGAGGTCGTTCAAGGATGACGACGCCGTGATCCACATCTTTCGGAGGGAATGCAGGAAGGTGGAAGGTTGCAGGCTCAAGGTTGCCCACCCAAACAATCTAACCTTCTGCGATCAGGTTGGCATCTGTTCTCTCGCATCTTCCGGTTATCGCGTTAACTAGAGAACAGCTTCAGCTATCATTGTCTTGATCGATCCAGGTGAAGCTGATGAGCGGAACAGACATCCTGGCGACGCCACACGGAGCCCAGCTGACCAACATGTTCTTCATGGACAAGAACAGCAGCGTGATGGAGTTCTTCCCCAAGGGGTGGCTGGAGCTCGCGGGAGTTGGCCAGTACGTGTACCGCTGGTTGGCCGACTGGTCCGGAATGCGGCACCAGGGCGCATGGAACGACCCCCACGGCGAGCCATGCCCTCCCGGCCTCACCACCTCGTGCTTCTCCTTCCTCAAGAACCAGCAGTTGGGACACGACGAGGCCTTCTTCTCCAACTGGACCGCGCGAGTCCTGGGCGAGACGAGGAGATACAAGCTGCAGAAGCCATCCACGGAAGCAGCTCAAGAACGTGAAGTCCACTGCAAGTGTGGCTAATCCGCTCACCTTCAAACGGTGATCGGGTAGAAGATGCAATATGACGCAAGAGTATGATAAGATTTTCCCGGAAATTTTTATTGTGTCGAGGAAAATCCTCTATTTTATTGAGGGAAATCATTTCTCCTAATTTGTATAAATAGGAGAACATATTAATGTACTGAAGCATTTTTCATTTATTCAATAAAGTTTCTTCACTTCTTCAATAAAGCTTCTTCAATAATTGTTGACCAACGTCATTGAGAAAAGCGAAGCTTCGCCCTTGTCTTCGGCCAACCACCAACGCCGATGCAGCTATATTTCTAAGAGGTTCCATGACCAATCCTCATTTTCCTCATCAGTCGGTGGACTTAAGGAGAACGAAGAGAACGCCTGTGCTCTCATAGCAACAGCAATCGTAACAATAGCAACGATCTTAAAATATAAGATTTTTCCAACTATATAAGGAAATCTCTTTATTCCGTTGAGGAAAATCCTTTATTTTGTTGAGGAAAATTTTTTCTCCTAATTTGTATAAATAGAAGAGGAAACATATATTAAAGTATTTTTCATTTCTTCGGCTTCTTTAATAATTGTTCTTTTATTTTCTGTTCTTTTCTTAAACTATTGTGGTGAACAGATGAGGGTGTACGTACGTCCTCTTGCCTTCAATGCTGGAAAGCCTAATTCCAAGTTCCCTTTGTTGATGCTCTTCACACACACATGGGCAAAAGGTCAAACCCTCCACATCTAATTCTGTGGCAGGCAACTCATAAATTACTGGCATTTTGATCAGAAGGTGGTTTAAAAGATGTGTGCACACTCCAAGATTGTCGTCCAGATCCTTCCTTTAGCACGATTGCTTGCTTCAAGAATCCACATGAGTTACAATAGCAAGGTCAAAGCAGCACATTAAAATCTGAAACTGCCAAAAAAAGATGCTTTCTTCTTCATCCTCCTCATGGAATAATAATACCTCACCTCTGTTTCGACTTTTCTACTACTTCTTTCTTCTTCTTCAACTGCGTTAAGAATACACAACATCTGGAACTGTTAGAAATGGTGGAAAACTATCTCTGATTGATAACCAGGGATCATGTGATAAGTGAGCATGCTGCACTTGTTCCTAGAAAGTCAACCCTCCTTCCCTCTTGTTCCAGTTTACTTCATTTCAGCTGGATCACATGGAGTGTAAGGCTCATGAACCGCATGGTGTCAGACCACGCTTCATTACTCCATTGCTTTTAGGTCTCGTTGCAGCAGCTCATTGGTGTCAGTGGCTCGGATTCCATTTTGCATGACATGTAGTGTAATGTATTTGAGATCACAGAATGAGGTACTCCATAGACAAGAATAGAAAAAGTAGTGTAAATGCATGAGATCACAGAGTCGTGGTAAGAACCCGAAACAGAGCAAACTTGCTCGATGCTCTTCCTGATGAGTAGGTCAATCCTAATTTTCCATGTATAACACGTGAGATGACAAGCAGCTGCTGCTTCAGGTCAAGATCAGGGTGAATAATTTAGTGTCGGATCAGTAGACTTGCATATCCATCTTGTTTTTATCTGTCAAAGATTCGAGCAGCAGTAAAATAGCTGTCTCTTGAACTCGGAGCCCATCTCATGGTTGGATTCTCTGATCCTCGCCAAAGTTGAAAGAGAAATCACATTGATCTCTCTTACTGTAATGCTCTTCCTCTTTCCAGATGATGAATTCTGTTTCTTTGTTCGAAGGTCATTACTGGAATCTTAGACAGGAACTGAGGGCACTTACCGTATGTCGAGTGAGATTGAACTGTTGATCCACACAATGGGAATGCGTCTGCAAACCAATCAAACTTGGCAGTGTATCCCATTATTTGCAGCCCATGCTTTGGTGGGGATGACGGTGCCCACTTGGAGGAAACATGAGTCGCCATCCTTTGGGCAGAGCATCTCTGTCTGACCAAGTTGCAATGCATGGGCTGGGCTGCACCCTTCTCACAGTGCCACCATTCATGGCAGATCCCTTGATCAATCGGTATCCAAGGGTGTTGTGCTCTTGCATTACGGATCAAGTGTGAGATAGATGGAGGGAAGAGAGAGAGAAGAAATAGCATGTTCATTCACCATATATGCCAGCAAATGATTGGTTGCAGACTGGATATAGCATGAGAAAGAGACTGGTCTGCAGCAGAAACAAACAATGATCCTACAGTGGATGACAGCATATATATCATCAAGCCTTCCTCCAAACAAATACAACAAGTGAAACATTAAGTGCAAGAAGAGAGGGATCAGAAGCATCCCATGATCCTGCAGCCTGTGAGGTCATGAGATATGACGACCCTACAGCTACAGCCCATGTGATTGTTTCCTAATTCCCTTATATTAATATGGACCCAGAAATCTACAATTAATTCTGTCCTCCTCACTCTTCCTCTGCATCTGCTCCGATGTCTTCTTCCTCCCCAGCATCATAACTGCGTTTGCCTCCACAGCATGTGATCCTTGTGTTTAGTTGCTCTACAGTTTCATCAACTGCATCTCACAGCTACTAAGATGAATACCAGATTGCTTGGAACTCATTTCCTAGCACAAACAGCTGCAAGTGCTTCATGTCCTTTAATCAAACTAGTTTCTTTCTAGTTCCATTTTTCCTATACTGGTGCAATTCCTTTGCACATTTCAATGTGGGATCCCAAAGTTGAGTCATGCAGTGAAGACAGAGCTTCCTATGAAGAATCCTTCGACCGCGACGAGGTTGATGATCTCAAGATGGATGGATTCTTTCTAATAGATAACTCCTGGTATGTATTCCTACCTCATAAGCATACTGTTCTCCGTGATGGCAGGAAAGCTAATGTATTGCAGCTTCAGGTATGTCACCGATGACAACCCCAGCGATCTGCTTATTAGGGTGGGAGGCACCAATTTCCATCTGCATCAGGTTTGTGATGCTTCACACAAACCTACTGTTTTGTTGCTCTTCGAGATCTTGACTTGCACTGTGCTTCTTGTTTTCATTTCAAGAATCCTATGGTCTCGAGGTGCGGAACGGTGAAAGGGATCATAGAGGATTCTTCAGGAGGCTCGGAGTTGAGAGTGATCGAGCTTGATGACATCCCCGGTGGCCCTGACGCGTTCATGCTGGCTGCAAAGTTCTGCTACGGCTTCGCCATCGATCTGACGCCTTCGAACATCGCCGGCCTACGGTGCGCGTCGGAGTACTTGGACATGACGGAGGACCTGCAGGAGGGGAACTTGGCGGTGAAGACAGAAGCTTTCCTCAGCTACGTGGTGTTCTCGTCCTGGAAGAACGCGGTTGCGGTCCTCAAGAGCTGCGAGAGCCTGTCTCCATGGGCTGAGAACCTGCAGATAGTGCGGCGGTGCAGCGAGTCCATCGCATGGAAAGCTTGTGCCAGGCCGAAGGAGATGAAGAGAAGCAGCTCAACGTGGAGCAGCAGCTCTGAGGAGAGAAGCCCAAGAAGCGATCTTCTGCAAGCTCCCACACACTGGTGGTTCGAAGACGTATCGACGCTGAGAGATGATCACTTTGCGAAGGTCGTGACCGCCATGGAACTTAAAGGCATGAGGTCGGACTTGATCGGCGCAGCGATCATGAACTACGCTTCAACTTGCCTCCCCGACCTCTGCAAAAGAGCAGCAATTAATGCTGATGGCAATCCAAATGCTCAAAGTCGAGATCGACGGCTCATTGTCGAGAGCCTAGTCGCCATGATTCCTGCTACCAAGAATTGCGTCCCTTGTACCTTTCTGCTCCAGCTTCTTCGAACGGCGAAAACGCTGCAGGTGGAACCTGCAGCGATCGTGGAGCTGGAGAAGCGCGTCGGAATGCAGCTGGAGCAGGCCAACCTGCCTGACCTGCTCCTTCCTTCCGATCGCGAGAGCGAGGCGTTGTACGATATCGATCTGATGCAAAGATTAGTGGAGCATTTCGTGGATCAAGAGAGAACAGAGATGTCAGCCTCAGAGAAGCATGGATATGGAGTTTGCTCCGGTCCCATCCGGACCAGCTCGAAGGCGAAGGTGGCCGAGCTCCTGGATGGTTACCTAGCAGAAGTGTCAACGGACAGGAACCTGCCGCTGGCCAAGTTCAAGGTGTTGGCTCGAGCATTGCCGGAATCGGCGAGGACCTGTGACGATGATCTCTACAGAGCAGTTGATTCATACCTCAAGGTAATAGCTCGAACTCTGATGGCTGTTCTTGAATCAGACATCTCATGCCATCGAACCCGATCATGAAGCAGGTTCATCCAGCGCTCGCCGCCCACGAACGCATGCGGCTTTGCCAGGTGATGGACTGCCGGAAGCTCTCCGTCGACGCCTGCGCGCACGCAGTGAAGAACGAGCGCCTCCCGATCCGATTCGCCATCCAACTGCTCTTCTCGAAGCAGGTCACGATGACCGACTCCATTGCTGGCTCCTGGATCGAAGGAGCACATTCCATGATTCCTACGAAGCAGCGGCTCCTCCTCCAGAGAGATCCACGTACCCAGTGCTCGCAGGAGGGTTCGGTGGCAGCGGCGGAGGTCAATAAACTTAGTTTTGAGTTGGAGAACATGAAAGCCAAGCACTCCGAGCTCCGACGGGACATGGATGGGTTGCACAGGGCGTTGGAGGAGATGTCTTCGTCATCGTCGAAGCCCACAACGCACTCATCCGTGTGGGCTCGGGTGGGTAGAAAACTAGGCATCCGTGTGGGACTCTCGAGTATGTAGCAGCACACAGAGGTGACATGGAAGTGTAAGACGATCGTAATGCAAGTTGCTAATCTTGATGATCAATCAAGGGAAATATGTACATTGAGCTGCAATGTGAATAGACAACTAACTAGTTTATATCCATATTTACAATGTCATAAATCTGGAGAAATGGCCTCCCTTCTTGCAGGAGGAGATCTTCTTTCACGTCACTAATTACACAGTATTAAGAATTTTTAGCTTGTTTGATGCCCACAAAAAAGCCTACTCTTTTATGTTCTTCCAATGGCACATCATTCAGGTAGAGTCATCAAAACAACTTTGATATAACGCGACAAGAGGACCAGAAGGCTACAGATGCTGCCCTGATTATTGCTGGATTCTGGTATATCCTGAAAGGTGAATAGAAACAATTAGCAATTAGCATAAAGCAAAGAGAAAATGTTAATGTGACTTTGTTCATAAAAGAAAATGCAGTACATTATTAATACAAGTGAACTCCACCAAAGGTTGCAACAAATTACCAAATAGAGTATTTTGTGTTTAACTACGTTGAAAAAGGAAAAACATGGTGATAACTTAAAACAATTTGCATAATAAGGCCACCCTCTCCTACAAAGCTTCTTAAATGTCAACATTTTAATAAGACTATACTAGAGAAAAAGAATTCTATATGAAGCTGCTTATAGAGAATTAAGGTAGTGGTTTGATACTGACACATACATTCACATTTCAGTCCCACCCATCTCACCCAGAAAATTGAGGTGGTGTTTTAAGAATGCCACATACCTCCACATTTCAATCCCACCCATCTCCTAAATGGGTTGCACTAAATGAGGCAGTCAGACTCATCTTCCAAAAACTTTTACATCAATGGTGTGGATGCCTTAGCTATAGCCAAATAGAAACTACCCACATCATCTATAATTTTCTCCGAACAACTACTCATTGAAAGTGTATTCTCCTACGAGCACACATCAAAATAGGTAAGCTTCAAGCTTTTAGAAAATAGAAGTTAATATTTGGAAATAAGCACCAAAAAGCTGAAACAATCAACAGACAGAATGGAGCAAGACATCAGCTGATTTCCCAAAGATAACCACTATCACCAATACCAATGGATAATTATTTTTCCAAGAAAAAGGAAAGACTCGCTTAATAATAATATACAGCTGTCCTGGACAAAATGATTCTATGCTATATTTCAACATTTTTCTTTGCAATATTATGATCTAAAAAGACCAATGAGAGCATATGCTTTTACCCCACAGAGCTAGGAACATATGTTTGTGAACCATTTACAATGGGCAGAGAGGCAAATGCAACTGATACCAGCTTTCCAGGTAAAAGAGCACGTCTATTCAAACTATGGAATTTATGGTTTCAAAGCAAGGTTACTAAGAAACTACTCATATAGTAAGTGTTATTAAAGCAGTGACTCGAACCTTCAAATAGTTGCAAAAAAGAAGCCACCTACCCAATAGCAGTTGCACCCCAAGAAGCAACATTGTAAATGACTTTGCTTCCATCCCATGCCTTCTGAAGCTTGCTCTTCTTCTTCTTTCCAGAAAATGTTTTGCATAGGGCTAAAGATCCACAAGAAGAGACAACAAGCATCATAAGCAATGGTTTATTACCCTCTTGTAGTCCATACAGAGAGAAATGCACATTTCAAATAGCTCACCATCTTGAAGCTGATTTGGAGTTAATTCCTGCAAAATAAAATCCTAGCAATGAATATACAGGCAAAGAGTTAAGACAATTACTTTGACAAAATCAAGAAAGAGTAAAGCATCCACAATGGACAAATTAGACTAACCATGGCCACAACATTTCCAATTTACGCAACTGTATTTGCATTCATAAGAAGTTTTAGCTAAGTAATTATATACAAAAATTTTCCACACATGATCTTAAAATCATGCTTTTTTCATAACTCGAAGATGTACAAACAGAGAAAAAAAAAGACAAATATTGCAAAGCAAATACGCAGGGGACAGTCTTTTATAAGATGGCAATCTACATACTTTAGTTTGCTTTAGTGCTAGTAGGTAGGCAGCCATGAAGGATGCTATGCCATCCACAATGTCCTCTTGCCTGACAAGAACATAATCATCTTGGTCTGAGTCGTTCCCTTCATCAACAGGCCTATCTTCCCGCAAGTCTGCGGCGGTAATCACATCCCAAGATGAATCATCATCTGCTATAAAGAGAAGATATCTTTTGGCATCATTCATAGGTACTGGCATGTACAAAATAAATTTTGTTCCCTTGGGAGAGGAATCTTTCAGGATGCCAGATGTAGAAACTTATAAGCTAGAAATTCACTGAAAGCACAGATCAATACAAGATAGCTCACCATGAACATTATTGCAAACAGATGTCTGGATGCTTCCAAGCTTTTCAAGGAAGTCTGGTGATTCAACTTTCAACTTGAGAAGTGCACATAGCTGCAAGACAAAAGACAAACTACCAAAATTACACTCATCAAATCACTATAAAAATAAAGCTACCAGATTGCACTGGGCAGTCAAAAGCTGCAAGAGTAAATGAAAACAGCCACATCAATTGTTCACCAGACGGTGACATGTTAAGAACATTCTACATGCTCTCAATTGCCAATGCCACTTAAAATAACAGCAACATATGATATCATGGACAGCAATAAATCACTACAAAGGCCATAATCCTTCAGAGTCCTTAGAAGTTCATATTCAAACTTTGATGCAGTAACAATATTTTTTATCAGTGACAGTAATCAATAAAGTTCCTTTACTGGTATCTCACAAATTCATGTTCTTGCACTTTGGCAAAATAGGGTGATGGATTCATCCCAGCATGCTTTTTCATAGACAAAAATGATGAAACAATAAAGAACACTATCATTATAAGAGCACATAACTTGCATCAACCATATGGTATGAAAGATGAGTCAATACTTAGACATTCACCATACCCGTGGGAATTTATTTTTATTTTTCCCAACTGTACATTGATTACTGCCAAAAAATTGTTAACACAACATATTGGCATGGAACAGAAAGTTACAATGTACTACAAACTGGCACCTGCAAAGCACATACTAACAAATCATCAAATTACAAAGTTGTCTTGTCATAGTTGCACAGTTGTTTCTCCCTATATTAGATAAACAGCACACATTTAAAGTTTGTAACACCTTATTATCATTTATTCGGCATCGGAAAAGGGAATCATGTAACTTTTCGTGGTGGGTGATTTTGCAAACCACTGAAGAGTTGAATTTATCAAATTAACCAACAAAATACAGGATCAATGATGTGTAGGCATGTAATCATGCAAACATGGCATCAAACTGATATACAAATACCCATCTAAAATGAAACTAACTAGATAACACAAGCTTTTGTGGATCAAATTAGATTATATAAAAAAGTCTACCTCTATAAGTAAACAGACTGTGACATCATTCTGTCACCATTATATATGAGCATCGAGGACATGTAAAGAACAAAATGGTCTAAGATATCTCATGTTTTTCTCTTGGGGAAAAAAAAGATATCTAATGTTTATGTAACATCCCAAGTTGCAGAGCAAGCATCAACAAAGAACCACAGAAGATTAAAAGCTGATTTTGTGCTCTTGCCTTTTAAAGTTCAAGTAATGCCTTCGACAGGACTATAGAAATGATCCCATTTCAAAATTAATAGATTGGCCATATACAAAGAAGATGAACATGCTTGTGCACGATTCCCTCGTAACAAGTCAGTTAAATTCGCAAAGTTGCCTAGAACTTATGAACTTTGATCGACAAGCTCCAAATTCTCCAGTGTTATTTTGTATGAATCCCAACTTTATATTCGTCAGTGGACACACAAATCTAACGAACGGTAACCCACTGCAGCAGTAAGTGCAAGCACGATGACGAACAATAAACTGACATCATTCCTATATACAAAAAGAAGTGATTAGACATTCAACACAAAATGAAAAAGAAATTTCGCCATCATTGTGCCAAATTTACAATCTAAACAGCTAAGATTACACCAGCATTCCCCTATTCGATCGTCCATCTCAACAACTATGATTTATAAACGGGATCCAATCAAAAGTCAGTAAGAATCCGAACAGGTCCCACCCGTACCTCATCGTCATCGGCATAGGCATAGGCATTGGCATCGGGATCTGCTGCAGATTGAGATCGCGGTGGCGATCCCTCCACCTCACCAGCCGCTACCGCCGCCTCCCGTGCTTCGCCCTCGTCGTTGGGATCGCAATCAGGGGCCGCGTTCTCCAACAATTCCATCGCTCTTTTGCAGTTCTCGAGTACCACCTCGAGGGCCCGCCGCTTCACGCGGACCTGGTCCTCGTCCGTGGCCGGCACGCGGGGGCGCCTCAGCCTCGCCGGAGCGGTGGAAGAGGTGGCCTCGGCCTCCATCTTGCCCTAGTAAAGTTTAATGGGGAGAGAATTAATGTCTTTCACGTCTCTATGCCCTCCTAAATTTGCTCATCATCGCAGGGGTTGGTTTTATTTATCATTATTATCGAAAACATAATTTTCCCCGGGAAGTCTTACACGCACACGTCTCCGCACGTGCCACCCACGTTACTTCTGTAATAGGTAACGTTTGAGGAGTGAAAATTAAGGCGTGGAATAATTATTGGTCAGAAGTGATGAACATGCTTTTCCTACCAAGACCCCTGCGTATTGATAGGACTACCCAAGACATGGGTCCCGAAGACCGTCCCCATTCCCAGTCTCCTGGCAGGTAGGACAGTCAGGTAGACTGCCCTAGGAATCGTATAGGTTTTCTGGCGCAACCTGGAAAATTGGTCTCATCCCTAAGCCTAAACAAATATAAACAAATTCTCCATCGAACTTTAAAATACTTTTATGATTTATACGAGTTCTTTTATGAAGTTAGATTTTGAACATGTGAACTGGATGCAATTGTTTGCCACCATCTTTACTGATAACGAATTCGACAGACATCCAACTCACCTTTTACCCATCAAAAAGTCTCCAATTGGAAAAAATTTCCCGATCTCATAAAATAATTTATTTATTATATATACTATTAAAAGATATACTATTCCAACTAATAAGATCATTTAATCTCATATTGGTTAAGAAATATGGGAACTAATGACTGTCCGTTAGGTTTCTCTTATCCTTATACTTTTTGAAACTCACATGCTCCAAAAGAACAAAATCGTAAACTTCAAATCCGATGACATGTAACACACACATGACGGGCAACATATCTATCCATTCTCTTCATCATTTTTTGGAGTGTTTTTTAAAGCATCAATTCTAAAAGAAATTAATAATCACAATAGCGTAAGTTAAAATAATAATAATATAACATGAACTTAACGTTCAAAAATCTATAGTCCATTTTTTCTATAAATTTCAGAAATAAACTATCTTGTCCACTGCCATTAGGATTCAGTATCCTCGTAGATTAATTCCCATCAAGTGGATGGACGACTCCAATTCAGTATTTGGTTGGGCTTTCTTAGGTTAGGCCCTACCCAACATTGAACCTTATTAAGCCAAGAGAGCCCAAATCGAACATGCATAAAGTCCATTGAGATTGTCTCGTCAATGTAGCAATCTTACATTGATGAGCTAAGATATTATTAAGATATATAAACAACTGTCGATGTTTGTTAACTATGTTTTATGATATTATTTCAGCTAATATTTCGAAAAGGTAAAAAGTCATTACGAAACTTACCTTCTAAAAAGTTTATATATATATATATATATATATATATATATATATGATAAAAGAACTAATATTATTTATATATAATTTTTACTGATTAGTTGTCACCCGATCTCATAAGATTAGCGAATTAGACACGCATTAGACGCTATTAATTTGTTACTGTCCAACCTGTCTTAACAGGCTTACCGTAACAAACGATCCTTAAACCCTTCTAAAAATAATCTCCCAAAACCAAACTGTTCTTATATGTACATAACAACAATCTTCTAAAAATAATATATTATACCAACGAAACTAATATATTATCTTCGTTCCACTATATTAAAGAACGCATGCATCTCTCATACCACTCTATCTCCGCCCTCTTCCATCGTTCTGCATTCTCTCATCCCCTCGGAAGCTCCCAATTACTTGCATGAGCAATTCTTAAGATTCGAAGGGTTTTGGGTTGGAAAACATTACCTTCTGGGTTTGGTCCACCGGGGAGGCCGAGACGTTGAGCTGATCGCTGGCATCTCCACCGTCCATCTGTTTGAACGGCACAAACGCATGATGGAATCGCTACGCTCCAAGAACCTATTGCTCCTCTGCCTCCGATCTCAAAGCACGCGTGTTGCTCTTGTGGGTGGTAACCACACCGCTGCCCGCTTCTGCACCCGCTAACCCACCCCTGCCCTTCTCTCTCTCTCTGTCTCTCTCCTCTCTCTAGCTCCTTGCAGCCCATTTCTCGGGAAGTGGAATCCCGTAACCCTCAAAACGGAAAGGTCTCCGATGAAGAAGCCGAGCGGTATCCGACGCCTCGAACTCGGCGGCGCCATCGAAATCGGAGGCGACCGCCTCGTGATCCGCCTGCCGGAGCCCCGCCTTCTCCGCCTGGTCGCCCGATCGGTGCTTCTTGCCGCCGCCGTCTTCTCCTTCACCTGGCTCCGAGCCGCCATCCTCCGCCTCGGCGACGTTGGTGGGGTCGCGGTAGGCCAGCGGGCCCTCGACAGCGACGCTACCTTCCTCCCTAGTCTCCTCGGCGATCTGAGGCGCCGTGGCCTGCTTCGCCCCGAGGACAACGCCGTCCTTCTGAACGATCCGATCGCTGGCGATCGAGGGATCGAGGTTCCGGACGGCTCCGCTGACTTTGTCTTCGGAGCCTCTACGGGCGATTTCGAACAAATCGATCGGATCCTCAAGATCGGCGGCGTCGCGGCTGTCAGATTGAGCCCTGATTCATCGGATTCCTTCATCCCGCCGGCGAACTACCGCATGGCTTACGTCGGCTGGATTGGTTCCGCCACCATGGTGGCGATGAGGAAGTCCTCCGCGAGTGGTGAAGGGCTGAAAATGCGGCGGCTGCTATCGCTGCCGGAGGCGAAGAAGAAAGCGCTGAGAGGGCTGGAAGATGCGCTGTTGGAGCCGCCGAGACCGGGGCAACATGGGCGGCAGCGAAGGGCGAGATACTTGCCGGAGCTTACGGGGGACGAGCTGGATGGGTACCCACGGCGGGTATTCGTGGAAATGGTAGCGGCGGGAGAGGCGGGCAGCGGTGAGTCGTGGTTCAAGCGGAACTACCCAAGAAAGGGCCGGGCCTTCGACGTCATCCGACTGGAGATGAAAGACGACGAAGATGAGGCCGTGAAGGCGGAGGAGGGGGCGACGGCATCGCTGGCGGAGTGGCTTGAAAGGAACGTGAAGGAGGAGGAGTACGTGGTGGTGAAGGCGGAGGCGACGGCTGTGGAGGAGGCGATGGCGGAGGGGGCGATCGGGCTGGTGGACGAGCTCTTCCTGGAGTGCGATCACCAGTCGTGGGAGGCCGATGAGATGAGGGAGAAGGTGAAGAAGAGGGCGACGAGGGGCGGGCAGCGGGCTTACTGGCAGTGCCTCGCCCTCTACGGGAAGCTGAGGGACGCGGGCGTGGCAGTTCACCAGTGGTGGAGCTTCTAAAACAAGATGAAGAGAAGAAAAGAGAAAGAGAGGAGAGAAGAGGACAGAGTGAGAGGGAGCGGAAGGGAAGGGAAGGGTTGCGGAGTGGTTGTGTTGGAGGGGAAGGAGTATGTCTTGTGACAGTGATTATATATGGATGGAACGAACTGAAGGGTCTGAATTGGGGAGGTTGGTGCGCGTGAAAGGGATTTAAATAATTTGAAATCTGTCGGGAGGGAGGCGCGGAAGAAGTCTCCTCTTCGTCTTCTACATTGCGCTATCCTTTAAGCTGACTTTGTGTCTGTACGTACAGATGTATGTATCCGTGTGTATAAAATGGTATGAGGATTCATGGCATTACTATCTACTTTTGTTTGAGTTACTCGGCTTTTCTCCGTAGCGATAAGATTCCTATTCTACCAGTAATGTCCTTCTATATGGGTAATTAGACACTAATGCGATGAAAGCTAATGTTCTTGGCCTCCACAATCAATCAGCAAGAAATCTTGGATAAGTGGCCTTAAAAGAAGAATGAATAATTGATGCCCAAAAACAGGCCATCAAATGCTGATTCTTATTTTGAAACTTGGTGCTGTAACCTAATCAATATAAAGAAAGATGCATTCATGATCATGTATTACCACCAGATAGACAAAAACCATGGGTATGCTAAGTGATCGGATTGGGGTCAACAAACCAGGCTTAATTGGTACCTTGTCCAACGAGTCCTGCACCAGTAGAATGGTTGGGTGTTGTAGATCATGAAGCACATGGAGCAATAATAGGTGAAGAAAGATTTGCCTAAATCAATCGAGCAAAATGATCAATTATTTCGGGTCATGCTATATATTCATCAAAAGGGGCAATGATGAAGTTCAAAGCTGAAAGTTTCTCATTTGTGAAGCAATTGTATAGTTCTTACAAGTTTCTGGCATAAAAGTTCTTCTATATACCCGAGTAGCAATAGAAACCATGAAGACTCATTCAGGCATGATCCATAAAAGTCATATTTCCTGCCCACAAAGCCACTATCTCAAGCATTAGTTACCTTCGTACTTTGGGTCTGCCATCACATAATGATAAGCAATTACCAAAATGAAGATAAATATGCCAAGAAAATTAGCAAAGAATCCCAAGTCTTGATCGTCGATCATCTGCAAGAAAAAGCAAACACAAAGGTCAAATCTATACCCAGTTGGTAAGCATGATATGAACATCAAATTATTTTTTTCTTCGGTGAACAAAATTAGAGAAAGTTATGACACAATAAACAAGTTTTGACCACAATCATATGCATTGACTTTATTAGTCTGCCATTGAGACCAAAATCAAAAGATTTGAACATAAATCCACAAAAGTTGCTTTGTTCCCATCTGCATCTCCAGAAAGGATGCTTGGTTTAAAATCAAGCAGATATAGCATTTTTTCCATCGATGTGATGACCGATGCAACGTCATGCTACCTTTTCTTATCTTTTTTGCAGTTCCCTTAATGTGAATTAGATAGCTTGGTCAAAACAATCGATCAAGGCAGGAGTAGAAGTTCTGTCTACTAATGTTTAAAATAAACCTATACCAGTCACAGTAATAAAGATCAAACAGTATCTGTACATGTACATGTTTAAGCAACTAATGTGAATTCCACACAGAAATGGAAGACAAATTGCAGAAAATCCAGCTTGATTATTGTTTATGTATATCTTGTTTAACCTGCTCCATGGCATGGTGAGTCAGAATGTTCTACTTCAGGGACAGAAAATGCCAAAAAAAATACAAAGGCAACCCAGTGAAATGACATGCACACGCCCAAAAGCAGAAATTCCTCTCTTGATTCAGACCTATGAGTTTAGGAGATATGAAGCAACATGGTCACTGCACAAAGGTCAATTCTCTATGATGCAACATTAATTTCTTAATAAAAATATTGATACAATTACTTTAGTTCTCTTTGTTTCAAAGAAGATTCTGAACCAAAAGCCTAACTGAATTTGGCATACTAAACATTGTAAACATTTTTGTACGAACACAAATCGTTGAATAAAAGCATCAGAGGAGAGATAAAACAGCTATGAGCCCAATTTAGTAACAGCTTTCCTAAGGGCACTATTGATCTCATGCAAACCCATGTTTCTAAGTTGAAATCTGCATAAAAATGTTGGACCAATTTCATGAAGAATTTAACGAGATTAAATTACAATTAGCCTTATGAATGCTGATTACAATATCCAGAGTATATTCCACCCAAATCTGGTTCAACAAGAAGCAAGGCCCATAACTGAGACCAAATAGATAATTTTTTTGGTCCACTATGTTTAGTGGTTTTTGTTATTGTGCTACTTGAGTCAAGTTTATAACCTCTTCCTTCCTTTTCAGTATATGAGCCAGGTTTAGTGAAATAAGACAATCTTTAATCCTGCATTTGTTAGGTTAAGCAGTGATTGGAAAGACTTTTAGAATGACCACAGTCCCCTGTGTGGCTCTACCTCGGTTAACCCAAACGTTGTCGGCTGACAAAACCAAGAAGGTGCAAGTATTATAATCTAAATTTGATTTTGTTGAAGAACTAAATCTGAACATGCCTGGAGAAGGTAAAAGAGAATTTTAGCTACATTGCTACATTACCCATAGATATGATATATGGAAATTCTACTGAGAGTCAAATTATTTTATAAGGAGTGCAACAGGCAGCCATCTGTAATTTACTTTGAGCAATAAAAAATATTATCAGCTGCATTAGCTTCATCTCACTGACACACCCTCAATTGTTAGGCGCCTATCTTTCCACAACATAATTTTTCAATCAAGGTATCATTCATGAGGTTTTCAAGAATGCGATCCACAATTGCCCTTGTGCGGAATTCCGTGGAACCAAAGTTTCACTTCATGCCTAAGGTCTACTGCTCCTAAAGATAACATTTTGATCCTGAGGTTTAGAATGGTTTCTTATGTTTCATAACAATCACCCAGTCATTCACTTAACTTGCTAGAATTAAACATAATACATATAATAAAAGAAAATTAAGCATAAAATACAGTCAAAAAAAGGGTTTTTAGTTTTGATTAACCAGCACTTCTGTTCTAAATATAATGATCAATATGAATACACTGATTAACACAAAAAATAAGTTCATCATAAGTTCTAGTATTCCCTATTTGAAGACATTATCTTGCTTTCCAAACTTTGCTGCTTGTAGATCTTTTCATAGGATGAAGAACATAGAAAAATACCCACATGGATGAGCAACCATGGAGATACCGACATGGGATATTAATATTACATGATATGGATATCTAATCTTACGGATATTTATGTAAATCAAGCGAAAAGATGAAATGTGTTAGTAGATATATATTCACAACAATGTTATTCTCCATACAATAGTAAACAATATGGTCCATATAAAAAGATTTACCCTTCAATATGTACAATGCCCAACAAACATTGGATTAGCTGTTACCACAAATTACTTGAACAAAGTATCTGACACTAATCCAGCAGTATTCAACAACTAGTAGTACTCGTTACAGGCACACCATTCAGTTTGATCCCCTAACAATCCAGCCGATCTAGGCTGGGATCGGCAGGGGCGACCTAATTCCATCACATTTACGGCTAGATCAACAGATCACCACCGATATCGAGGTGCGAGCGGCAGAACATGGGGGTTTCACGCAGATCAAAACATCATATATGTATAACGATGCA